TCCGTTCAAGAGTCTTCAACATCAATGATAACATTGATATAGGTCGTTAAGCTTCGGCTATTTAGGGTTTTTTCCCCGGTTTGGGAATAGATTATGCCGTTATGGAAATCGATTATGCGTTACCCTCAATAAGTATCTGGTTAAATATATTTCAAAGTAATTCTTTTGCGTTATCTGGCAAATGTTGTATCATAGGATCTGGATACCTCACCAGGATATGACTGAATCATATCCTGGTGAGGTACTAACGCGATTATCAAGGGCAAACTCTAATTCAGCTCTTGAAAAATTCAACTCAACTTTGTTTGGTCTTTAATTTCAGGAATTTTTTGACACGAGCATTCACTTCTTTGTATTTACAAAAATTTTCAGGAGAAGGATTTTTTTTGTAGTTTACTAATGCTTTCTTTCTTTCCGCAACGGATTGATCACATTCCGAATCTCACCACGGAGGGGAAGTACGTTTACATTTAAATGATTTATATTGGCAAATAAATTGTTTAGAAGCTTCATTAATACAGTCAATAGTTGTTAGTTAATAAGGTATCAATGTTAAACATTGCGTAACAACACCAGTGGATCGCTCAAAGAAAAATAATCCGGTGAAACGAAAACACTGAATAACAGATAAAACTCTTAAAATAATTGAGAAAAGAAGAAATCTTTGTAAAAGTGGTGTACATAGTAAAAGGGAAAAAGCTAGTTTAAGAAACCTCAATAAAGAAATAAAACGAAGATGTAAGGTCGACAAAAAACAGTACTATCAAAGTAATGCAAAGAAATTGAGAGACATGGTCAGAATAATCAGCCGAGAGATCTATTTAGAAAAATACGCTACCTAACAAGAGATTTCAGAGCCAGAACTTGGCTATTGAAGATAACATGGAACCCTGAGAACAAACAGAGAAGACATAGCAGAGACATGGAGATCGTATTGCAGGGACCTATATAAAGATGATCAACGCCAAGAGCTTGTTAGCCAAATCTCTGACGAGGTGAAAGAAGAACCTGATATACTCGAAAAGGAAGTAAGACAGGCTATCAACAAGCTCAAATATAACAAAGCACCAGGTCCAGATATGATAACAGCAGAAATGCTTAAAGCCACAGAAGAAACCGGCGTAAAGTTACTTCATCTACTCTGTAACCAAATATGGCATTCCAAACAATGGCCTGAAGACTGAACAAAATCTACAATAACGACCATACATAAAAAAGGTAGCTTCCATAAATGCGACAATTATAGAACTATCCCTCTTATATCCTATGCCAGCAAGATAATGCTACATAATCAATGAGAGACTGAAAACATTCCTTCAAGAGAAATTCCACAAGAGCAAACTGGATTTACCAAAGGTAGAGGCACTCGAGAACACCTGCTGAATATAAGACAGATAATCGAGAAATCTAGGGAATTCAACATCCCACTATATATCTGTTTTATAGATTACCGTAAAGCGTTCGACAGGGTCAAGTGGAGACACTTATGGCAAATACTAAAAGAAGTAGGCTTACCACAACATCTAAATACGCTTATAAGCGAACTATATGAACACACTACTGGATCAGTTAAAGTACTTGACACACTTTCGAACGAATTTCATCCAGAACGGGGTGTCAGACAAGGCTACTATCTCCACAATTATTCAACATATATAAGGAGTATATTATGCGAAGAGCACTTGAAGGATGGGAAAAGGGCATCTCAATAAATTGTCATAAACTAAACAACCTACGTTTCGCAGATGACACAGCCCTTCTTGCAAATAGTCAGGCAGAGCTGATAGAACTTATACGACTGATCGAAAACGAAAGTCAAATATTTGGTCTGCAATTAAACATATCAAAGACAAAGATCATGATAGTGGATAGACTACACAACAATCATCCACACATAACCACAATTGACCGGTTCGAGGTTGTGAGCTCATACTTATATCTGGGATCATTAATCACAAACACAGGGTCATTACAAGAAGAGATTAAACGTAGATGTGATCTAGCAAAAGATACCACAGCAAAAATGACCAAAATATGGAAGGACTGTCAAATTTCAAGAGCGATAAAGATGAGGTTGATCAACTGCTTAATATTCCCAATACTGACCTACGGATGTGAATCTTGGACTCTGAGACAATCGGAGAGAAGAAAGATAGACGCAAATGTTCTGTTGGAGACGAATGTTACGAATTCCTTGGACCGACCGTAGAACAAATAATTCAATTTTAAGAGAGCTAAAAGTTAGCCAACGACTCTCTAGTAAAGTCCATCTCCAACAATTAAAATATTTTGGGCATGTTATCAGAGCAAACACAGAAAACATGGACAGAATACAAGGAAAGGTAGAAGGCCGAAGATCACGAGGAAGATCCCCAACAAGATGGATAGATCAAATTACAGGAATATGCCAAGACCTATGCATGAATTAAAAGAAATGACCAGAGACAGAGATCTCTGGAGACGGACAATACACGACATCACGTCGACCACTACACTCCCCCTGGGTGAGAGAGAAACTGAGAATTTAATGATCAATTGGCTTTTTTAATGTTCCACTTACTACTGGGATAAATAATATTCGCTAACAACCCTCATAACGAAGTGATTTGATCCAAAAGCATCAAACTATCAAAGTATGATACTTTGATACTTTAGTTTTTATTTAGAAAGTATAAATTGTCATATTTATACAACAATCACATTGCGTGCGAATCATATTCTATTATTAAACTTTACTGTCTTGTATGGCATCTGCTTAATCTTTAATCACTTGACGATTCGTGCATTTTTTATTGTTTTTATTGGTTATAGTAGTACAAATATCCGTCTATTAACTGCACGTTCATCATTTACAAATAAAACTGTTATTTTTTTGTTGTATGCACTTGTTGGATATTAAAAAAACAAATCCATTCTCTAAGACGCTAAATAATGTTTTGAAGTCAAGGCCAGCGATTCCAATTAATGCGGACATTAATTGTTAATAAAATAAAATTGTTATTAGCTGTTTTTACTGTATTGTTTTGATGCAGATTTTAACGCATATGAGTCACATCAGTGGTTTCAAGATTATATAAATACGTACATACATATGCATATTTGAAAAATATCTATTGGTGTATATTCGAGCGAAGCAAATTAGACAAACAGAACGAACTTAACAGCGCAACAGTAATATGATTATATCCTATCTATCCCAGAAAACGAAGCCGAAAATGTACTTGAAAAGTGAGTAACGGAATTCGCAGAAAACTTTTCGTCGTAGTAAAAAAGGCACGGAAAACTGCACTGGTGTTCTCCATAATGTTTAAGACTTTGCTAAATTTTAGGTATAAAATAAATATATGTGTCATTAACCCGTTGTTTATAGTTTTGCATTTTTTTGTTTAATAAATGGTATTCTTGCATAATGTTTTGTAGCATGTATAAATTTTCAAAGCTAAAGAATGATCAAGGTCGAGTCACCCTGAACGCGTGTTTGAAAAGAATTCCGATTGGCTGCTCCAATGACTTGCCAGTTGACTTGTAGAGGGGCGAGAGAAAACGGTGGAAGCTGGTTCACAGAGACTGAGGCAAGTCAAATTCAGGTTTGGGAGAGTTTTAACTCTAAATATCTTAAGAAACCGGCACATTTGTTGGTAGAAAGGTGAATTATACTCGAGTGTAATATGTCAGTTTTTACAAGAGTGGACACTATTTTGTTTTCATGCCGTCCCTCATGCCATTCATGATATCCTGGATATCAGATTGGGGGAAATTGTGCCACTCCTCTACCTTAGCTGTCTTCTACCGCTGCTCTTCAAAGGATGCAGGGGCTGGTACTCTTGCTCTTACTCGTCTTTTGAGGTTGTCCCAGATATGATCAATTGGGTTGAAATCGGGACTATGTGCTGTCCATAGTAGAACTTGAATCCCGGCCTCATTAAGGTACTCACGGGTACATTTTGCTGTATGGCAACGTGAATTGTCATACATTAGTCTAACAAGTTATCCTTTAAAGTTAAAAATCCTTCGATTACACAAACTTAGGAAACAAACTGTCACAAGTAATGTAAACAAAAGAATAATAAAGGTGGTGGGTTAATTTTGCTGGTGAGTTAAATCGTCTGTATTGATGAAAAACATGGCTAGTTGTTAAATTACCTAACTTTTGTATTATTCAACATAAGCGAATGAATCAAAAAACAAAATGTTAAAAAAAATGAGTTATAGTTAGGTTTTAATTTCAATATTTTATAAATGCTAAAATTTATCCGTTTAGCAACCAGTATAACTGCAAATAGTTTAACTATATTGTCAAGGAATAAGGCTATAACATATTAAAAAATCACTTAAATCGACAACAGGTTTACGAGATATAAGACATCAAAAATTATCCATTTTTAAGCTGGCCCGTTAATTTTGGCCCAGAGTGTAGTTACTATAGTTTAATGTTTCTGGGAGAATAAGTCTTGCCTCATTTCGAATTGTATCATTTAATTTTTCAATATTCCCTGGTCTATTTATGTATACTTTAGATTTAAGATAACCCCAAAAGTAAAAATCATGGGGGGCTAAATCAGGAGATCTGGCTGGCCACTCTATCCATCTGTTCACAAAACCAATTCGTCAAAATATTTTTGTTTACAAAAATACTGAATTTATGCAAACCTTTACGTCCTCACTATATAATTTGATCTAATTAATCTAATCTAAAGGAAAACCGAGGGCAGTGAATATGCAGATGAAATTTTTACTTGCTGGTCCACTAAAAATTTAAAAAGAGATCCACCATGTACCTTATTCTATTTGTAAAAATGAATACTACAATAACATTGGTATATTAAAAAGTTTATGTCGTTTTTATAGGAATGTCAATTATTGAATAAAAATAAAATGTTAAAACCAACCTTGTAGTAAAATGCTTTAGTATGCTCATTTTAGTGTAATAATCGTTTTGCAATATCAATATAAAATTTTATTTTCTGAACAATGACCTATACTTTATTAGTATTTCTTACCAATTGAGTAACCTTCGCCAACAGTTCTATGAGCGTGTCCAGTCAAGGTGGCTATGGTGTATAGATGAGGATTTACTGCACTGACTGCGTCTTCCTTCAACTGAAAATAATAAAATTTACTTTTAAAACATTCGATAAAAACAACATTATTTAAAATTTCAATTAATTTTATTGATCTTAAATTCTTTATCAGTCCATTTATAGACAAGATCGTCCCAACAAGGTCTTTTCGTCTGTTCAGTCTGACTGTAACACATAGAACTTACACCTAAATTATTTTTTGATGAATTTACGAAAGCGTACCTTTGAAATGTTTACAGTTCGGTATGCAAATAAATGCACTCTGACCGCACGTTTGCGTGTTGTCATTAATTAAAAAATAATATCGGAGATTATTATAAAAAAATTGTTATGACCTCATAAAAGCACGTTCAAACGGATTGATGGACCGACTTAAGTTCCCAATAAGTAGCTTATAATCTTGTTGAACCAATAAATGTTATTCTTGTTACTAAACAATGGAGGAGCTCAATAATTAACGTAAAGACATACCAGCTGCAGATTGTGGTTCCGACCACAGAATGTTACAAGCAGAATTTCGCATTAAGTTACACAGTAAAATAATCACAAATACAAGACAAAAAATGATTCCAAAACACCCGGAAAAGTTTAGAAAAGCATTAGCAGAAGCTGACCTACCAGTAACCTACCACTGAGAATGTAAAAAGCAGTGCAAAGCAATGTCAGTTGAGAGTTGTGCTCTAATTGATTCACAATTTTGGAATGGTACTAGTAAACTTAACCAAAAAAAGATAATTGATGGATTTGACCGTTACTTGATGGAAATTCATTTTATGTAACAATAACACACTGAAAACTTTGTTTTCAAACTTCCACAAAATTTATTTTAAATATTTTGGCTTGTGTTTACAAATTTATAGTCTCTAATGAAATAGGTTGAGGAGGGGAGAACTGTTTGTCTCAAGTTGGTCATTCAGAATTATATCTGTGTTTTTTAATTTGTTGATTTCCATAGATTCTAACAAAGATAGCTTAATGCCTTTATTTTGAATGTGAAGAATTTTAAATTTGTCATTAAAAGAATGATTATGATCTAGAAGGTGAAGTGCGTATGTCGAATCTGTTTTTCTATTCTTGAAAGCCCTTTTATGTTCTGCTATTCGTTTATCAAAGTTTCTACCAGTTTGACCGATGTAAGTTTTTGGCAGTCGCCACATTGAAGTTTGTACACACACTATTTAAGTGTTTTTTATTTTGGCTCTTGTTATTTTTAATATATTTGCCTAGGTTGTTATTTGTTCGGAAAGCTGGTGTTATTCCTTTCTTTATTATGTGTTTGGCAATTTTTGTTGTTATTTTGCCTGTATATGTAATCGAGCAGAAGGTACTGTTTTTTTTCTCTGGTGGTGGAAATACTAATTTCAGGCTTTCTTGTGTAGTAAACACCAGCTTTCCGAACAAATAACAACCTAGGCAAATATATTAAAAATAACAAGAGCCAAAATAAAAAACACTTAAATAGTGGTGTGTACAAACTTCAATGTGGCGACTGCCCAAAAACTTACATCGGTCAAACTGGTAGAAACTTTGATAAACGAATAGCAGAACATAAAAGGCTTTCAAGAATAGGAAAACAGATTCGACATACGCACTTCACCTTCTAGATCATAATCATTCTTGTAATGACAAATTTAAAATTCTTCACATTCAAAATAAAGGGCTTAAGCTATCGTTGTTAGAATCTATGGAAATCAACAAAATAAAAAACACTGATATAATTCTGAATGACCAACTTGAGACAAACAGTTATCAACTCGTCAACCTATTTCATTAGAGACTATAAATTTGTAAACCCAAGCCAAAATAGATCACTTAAGAAAGGCAATCAGCCGAAACAGCTGTAGTGATAATATTTAAAATAAATTTTGTGGAAGTTTGAAAACAAAATTTTCAGTGTTTTATTGTTACAAAAAAAGATAATTTATAGCTATAGATAAGTTCCAGTTGAGCGTGTACGTGCTGGAACAGGATCATATGCTGGAAACAGAATAACGTCGTTGAAGTATTTTTAGTGTAAATGGTAAGAGTCTTAGTATGAATCGTACTTATTTTCTTAACAGCTTAAATATTTCTCAAACCACTGTACGTAATGCATTATCGAAAAGACAACTTGGCGGAATCGTACCACTTGATCAAAGCGGTAAACATGAGCCCTCTAACAAAATAGCCGCAAATGTAAGAAACAATATCAGAGAACACCTACAGAAATTCCCGTGTATAGAATCACATTACTCCACGAATAAATTCCATAGAATGTATTTAGACAGCCATCTCAACATTTATATAATGTATGAGGATTGTGTAGAACGGCAAATTTCTAAAGAAGACATTCCTAAGCAATGGTTATGTAATGACATTTTTAATTCTAAATCTAATTTAGCCTTCAAAGAGCCAGAGAATGATACATGTGACACATGTGATGGGTATGTTATCAAACTCAAAGAGTCCGTATCCTTGGAAGAACGCCTTGAATTACAAGTTAAGTACGACTCTCATCTTTTTGATGCAGATCATCAGTATAAACTAAAGCGACACGATAAAGATTCTAAAACCAAAGCGAACACCAAAATACTTTCGGTGGATTTACAAAAATGTTCACCCACACCTTTATAGACGAATGTTCAGAGCTTATATTCTCTAAAGCTATGGACTTTCAACTATACTGTCTATGATGCAATAGATAAATTAGGATATTGTTTCACTTGGGATAAATCTATAACCAGACGTGGTTAAAATGAAATGGCTTCATGCATTCTGAAATACATTAATTTAAATGTTAAAGAATCAGTAGAAAGAATTGTTATGTGGAGTGACAACTGTCCATCACAAAATAGAAATCTCCAGATGATTATGTACTATCTTTCGATTATTAATCTGAAGCCATCATTAAAATGCATCGAACATCGAAGTACCATTTAAGAGGACATACCCACATGGAGGTGGATACAATTCATGCGCGAATAGAAAGACAAAAGAATCGCTTTTTTTTTTGACAAAAAAGTCAATTTTCGTTAATAACTCCATGGGGTTGGCAACAGCTTTTTACACTTTGTGACAATAAATTGGACATAGCGGAAATGGAAATCGCGAACTTTAAGAATTTTACTCTTTTATCTGAAGAATCCGGATCTTGTTTTCAAAATAACAAAAAAAGATAACTAATCAAAACTTTTTAATATCTAAAGTTGTTTGTATGAGATTTTTAGCAAAAAGACCTGGAGTGTTGCATTTTAAAACAAATTTTAATCAAGAGAATTTTAAACAAGTTGATTTCAATAGAGCTACCAAGAGACTACCACGCAATGGGGAATGTATTGGTAATTCTAAGGAAGTTGTTCCCAATGCCAATTTAATTTTGAAACCGATAAGGGAGACACTTTCCTATTTTAACTAAAAAATTTAACGATTTGCACAATTTATTAAAATGGGTGCCATAGAATACTTCAAAAATCTTTCAAGAGGTAACCTCAAGGAAGACAAGTAAAAAATACAATGATCGTTATTATGAATTTTCTGTTTAAAGTTATGTAGTTTATAATTATTCCTTTGTAACATTTTGGTCTGATTTCGTTTATTTAACCCTTAAGTACCATGGCGGGGTCAAAATTGACCCACCGCATTTTTAATGCCAAGTTTCGCTACCGAAACATAGATTGAGCATTGCGCGGTTTCTGCTAATCTCGACCGATAGGTGATTTATCGATCAACGAAAATTCCGTTAGTTGATCTGTTACTACTGCAGACTTACGCACGCATAGGTCAATTTTGACCCGCTTATGTATAAATGTTTCTAGTGCAATTAACGAGTAATTTGAAATGGCGGGGTGTATTCGCAATAAACGTCCTCTGACACAGAAAGAACTTGAAGAGGAGGGATAAAAAATTATGGACAATGACTAGATAGTGACAGTGAGTTTTAGACCAGGCTAGTGAACACAGTGATTACGAAACAGACAGTGAAGAGGAATGGACGATGATGACGAAATTTGATATGAAATCGGATAAGAAATGTGCATGCTATAAAACTGGCAGAAGAACTCGTAGATGGCCTCAAGTAATATGGTTTCACATTTTGGACATTGCAGGATTAAATACTAACGTAATTTTTAATGGAGTTCAGAAAAATCAAATAATGGAAAGAAGATTGTTTCTAACCACTTTAGGTCAAGAACTTATTAAGGCCCATTTAACTCGTAGAGCTCAGCAAACATGTTTACCGAGAGAAAATCGTAGTGCCATTTTTAAAGTTTCCGGACTTCAGGAACCAATGCCTGCCGCAAATCCAGAGCCACAACGACGAAAAAAGAGGGGAAGGTGTAAAATATGTTCATATTCCAAAAACCAAAAGAAAGAAAGCTCATCGTGCGATAAATGTCGAGATTTTATTTGCAAAAATCATTCCCGCATAGAGACGTTATGCATAAGCTGTGTTGAAAATTAAGGTAAAATCATGCTTGTCATTTTTGAGATACGAAATCTAAATCGATTTTTTTTTATTTTAGGTAGGAGCTATGATACCTAGATTTCACCATTGGATAAAAAAAAACTGCATATTGTTATTATTTTTCTTATAATTCGAGAAAGTGCATAGCTATGTTAATTTGACTGAATACAAAAGTTTTTTTTTAATAAAGTGATATCTAATTAACCAAATTCGTTTATATTTTATATAAAAATGTAAAAGTAGCTGTAAACAAAATAATTTAAAATAAAACAAGTTAAAAACAGAATATTTTTTGATACAAAAAACAAGGGGGGGGGGTCAAATTTGACCTTGTCATGGTACAAATGTTACTATTTTTGGCCATGGTAGTTAAGGGTTAATCAAATAAATATTTTCTGTATCTTTTTGCGTTTAATTATTTAAGTAGAATTGATATAATGCTGTTTGTACTTTACATTGCTCTACTATGGATTTATTATTTAACAATAGTATCTAGTGCACGGTATCAACAGATTAGTAGGAGCTAAACACTATTAAGTCCCAAATTATAGTATTAACCCTTTCACTATCACTTC